GTTTGTGTTTCCATAAAGTTTGTACGAAATATTAATACGGTGTGTGATGGGTCTTAACATTTTTTTTTTATACAACTTTGAATGGCAAACAAGCTGACGGCCCACCTGATGGAAAATGGTAACCGTTGCCTATAGACATGAGCAGTACCATGGACATAACAGAGTATACTGTTTCGCCCATGATAGCCCTCATGCGTTGCCATTCCTCAGAGGACTCAGGTGTTATTATTCCTCTGTACCCAGTAAATTCACGCCATATCCCACCCTTCAAACCGAAACACAGCCATGCAAACACAACTGCTTCACGGTTAAAACACGAATGAGACAGTTTGGAACCTAGTTCAAACGTTAGGACCAAACGGGGTCACTGGAATGCAGCCTTCACTGTTGGTAGCTATTTAGTTTGGTACTTCAACTACCGTCACTTTCCAACGAAAGATTGCAAGTAGCAATACAGTACTCACGTTATCCGCGTACTTATTGGCTGATATTGAAGAACACCGTTTGAACTTTAGAATTGCTTTTAAACCAGGGTTTGAAGCGATTCGATTTCTTTTAAACCAGCGTTTCCGCACTCGATTCGATTTAATCGAAATCGGTCTTCGAGTTTTCGATTGAAAATTGGCATTTTCTAATGTAGTTTACCTTCTTTTCTATAAGATTGTAATTTGTCGGTAACATAAAAAAATTTAAAGACTTCATGTATTTACATTTAAAAACTAAATTAATGAATTGATCTTGATAAAAAATTTATAGGACCAATCTGAATGTAACTTTCAGATAAAAAAAATATCGGTTTACGACTGACAGTTATGAGGTAATAAACAAAGAAAAAAGTGACAGGATTGAGAACCATCTATTCTTTTTAAAGTCGGTTAAATATATACTTTTTGCAGCGCGGTTTCAGAAGTGTTTCTTTCTACGAACGCTCAGGTTATGAGCTCCCTGTAGAAATTTCATGAAGAGACTACAGTATAACTTCAGTCTAAAGGGAGTATTTTACCATTAATAGAAATTATACGTTGAAAAAAGACAAGAAACTTGATAAGCATTCAACTAATAAGTTTAATATATGTGGATCATCATCATCATATCAGCCCTTATTAACTGTCCACTGTTGAAAATAACCCTCCCCCTTTTGGGTTGTTAGTTGTTGCCACGCTCGGCAGGCGAATTAGCAACTGCAGTTAGGCTTTAGACATGTTTTAAGAGGGACGCTGCTGCCCATCCCTCGCCCTTTCTTAGTCGCCTCTTACGACACTTATTGGGAAGGAATAGGTGGACTATTCTGTGCCAGGACTACGTGGCCGATGTATTTGGATATATATGTATTTTAATACGTTTCCTCAGTAGAAGTTCTGTTGTCTGAGACTAGATGGCGTTGTGTACTCGTAATATATTCAATGATATTTATAATGCTATATACACCGGTTTCCCCGAATTCACTGTATTTCTAATTCTCTGAAAATTTAAGCCAAGATGGTAACAAAAGGTACAAAGATGACGGCGGCCATTAAAACGAAAACTCGATTTATTATTCAACATGTCTATCTGAGTCTGACCGTAGTAAAGAGGCTAACAGTTGCAATACCAACTTTAAAGTAGCAGTAAATTGAATAAAATATATGACAGACCCCCGCTTTGTGTAACGTAAAGCATTTCTCGAGGTCAGAGTGTTCTCGAAGATTCTATTAGGCGGGGGATCGCTTTATTGACGTACCGAGTCGGACTTTATTAGCACTCGATGAAAAATAATCAAATCCGAACTCGAGTCTGATAAGACACGAACTTGGACAAGTAAGTTCTCGAGTTGGGAATCGCTGAGTGACGTACCGAGTCGGCCTTTATTGGTACTCGATGAAAAAATAATCGTATCCGAACTCGAATCCGATAAAACATGAACTTGGACAAGTACTCGAGAACTTGTATAAGTATTTGCATAATTCATGGAACTCGATTATTTTCTCAATCTGTTTTCAAAAGTTACTTTTAATGAAGAATGTGATGGGAGAACAACAAAACCCAAGGCTTGTAACGAAAACTATGTATATTGACAATGAATAGAAAAAAATTAAAAAAATAGCATTAAATCAGCCGTTAACTGTCCACTGTTGAACATAGGCCTCCCCTTAGAGGATTTTGTCAAAAGTTGCCACGCTTGTCAGGCGATTGTCAATAATGGGGTCTAAAACCCCCATTACTAACAATAAACCTTGTCAGATCGAACTCCTCGCGGTCCCCTATAAAAACAATCACGTTCAATTCCAGGTGAATTGAACGTGATTGTTTTTACTATGGATTAACTGACTTGGCTTATTCTCTTCATGTATCATCTTTCACTAGTATCCCGCCAGCGTAAACCGATAGCGCAGGTAGAGTTACCATTAATTTTCAACCATTAAAAAATCCCGACTCGTATCGATTCAGTACTCGAATCAGCTTGACTCGGAACGACACTAATCGCTTTAGGCTTATGAACATTTTCTGTTATGTCACTGTTCTTATTACACCAGTATTTACTCTTTCAAATTTAAAGACCTTTCATTTTCTTGATTGTTTACCTTTTTTTAAGTCACCTCCAAAAAACTCTCGATTCATCAGATTCTTTTTTGCGATTACGTTATGCGATCATGTCGTCAATTCCAAACTGATTTTCATGATTCTTCTTGCAATCAATAGTGTTTGTGTTTGTTGCGTAAAAAATTAGTATCAGTTGAAGATAACTTTAAAAAAACTATTTATTGTTAAAAAAAAATATTTAAATGTAAACATGCAATATTTACCTGCGACTTTGCCCATATATTCATATGTACATAGTATAACCAACAAATTTCATTAAAATCCGTACAGTCGTTTAAAAGTGATTGAGAAAAAAGCATTTGAAATATTAGTAGACTTTACCCACATTAACGTACTTTCGTGTTGCATGTAGCAATAAAGATGGCTACCAGCGTATGAACGTTGTAAAACAAAAATATATAATGTCTTGTAAACCACTCGATAGCAATTGAAACTGTTACAGGGAGCGATACCAACAAATTGCGGACATCTGCTCTACTTACTACTCCAGAGTTTACAATCTTATAAACATTACGTTAAGGTTTAAAATTGAATAACAATTAGTCGCAGATTCTGAGAAACAGCACTTAATTGCGTACGATGGTCGCGTATATCGTGCATAACTTTTTGAAGGGTGTCTGAAATGTTTTTTATCTTTCACTTGTTCAGTAATTGCTTTATTATAAACTGGTTAAGTGCGAGTCGAAATCGCGCACTGAGAGTTCCGTACAAATAATTTTTTTTATTATATAATTCGCCGTGTGGTCCAGGCATAGAATGGGGCCACCCCTTCCTTTCCAGTAGGTGTTATATAATGTTTACTAATGCTACATTATGCCAAAGACAAATAAAGTAATAAAAAAAAAAACTATATTAAAAGACATGCTAAGTCGTAATTGTCGAGGGATGGGCAGCAATTTGGGGTCGTCAAAGGACAGGATGGCCAATTCTACGCACGGCGATTTGAGTATCTGATATTAATTTCAGCTCGATACTTTCACAAGTTCCAAAGAAACAGATCTTGATGGATGAACAATAAAGAGATTCGTTTCGATTTCTCTTTTAAGGTATGGAATCCTAAAAATAAGCATTTTGTCTCTCTTTGATCACCAACGAAATAACATACCAGTAATTACACACAGACACGACAAATAATGAAAATTGATGGATAGTTTAAACTGATTCCTAAATTAGGGGGGTAAAGAGGCTTCTTCAGGGTCGGCAACGCGCGCGTAATACCTCCGGTATTGCAGGTATTCATAGGCTACGGTAACCACTTACCAACAGGTGGGCCGTATGCTTGTTTGCCACCTCAGTGGTATAAAAAAAAATTAAGACTAACTTTTATTAATTTTTACCCCCTTATTCATAAAAAAGAGATAAGCAAAGAGATAAGATAAGCTGAAGTGGTAATGAGTTGGTTACATAGCTCGAAGAACCAACAATCAAAGGAGAAGAAAGTGTCTTGAGTGGCAATCTCGTACGAGAAAACCAATGTAGTACGATCCCCGACTAGATGGAGACAGGACCTCAAATGCATTCAGGAAGTCAGTGCAGGTGGCTCAGGACCGTTCCTTATGGCAGTCTATGGGGAAGGCTTATGTCCAGCAGTGGACGGATAATGGCTGAGACGATGATGATGATTTATAAAAACTGAAATCTTTACTACACTTTTTTGTCACTTTCTTTCAAATTGAGAATTTAGTGTAAAAGAATGACACGAAATAGATTAATAGCTAAAATACTTTTATGAGAGGTTTGACGTTTTTATGTATAAGGGAATTAAATATACTATATTAAAATTAAATAAATAAAGAGGGGATAGGCTACTTTTTATTCAGGTCAGTAAACATAAGGATTCAGGTGTTATTCCTCTGTACTCAGTAAATTCACGCCATATCCCACCCTTCAAACCGAAACACAGCCATGCAAACACAACTGCTTTACGGTTGATACACGAATGGGACAGAGGTACCCTAGCAATCGACTTTTGTACAAAGGCTCCCTCTATTAAGTATCTTGTGTCGTATACGAATATATATAATTAAATTAATTAAAGATACCTGAGTGATCAAGGCTAGGTAGTAATATAAAAATCAAAATTTAAAATTTGTCACAAAACAAAAAAAATTTTTTACAAAAGATTCTTGTAAAATGTGTTCTATTTTTATTTAACTTTCATCATACTCGCTTGAACATTTATCTATTTGAATAACTTTTTTACAAGTTTTTATAATTTATTTATTTATTTTGTGATACATAGCTAACAATGGATGGTAAAACAATATAAGTCCTCTATGATCAACCCCATCTATTGAGGTATACAAATTTACAATTATATAAGAAAAAAAAAATTATATTATAATGCAGGTAGTTATTAAAAAGAATAATTAGCAACCCTGTATTTTTTTTTACTAAATATAAAATAATCGTAAAATTACCTTAATCCTCGCTGCTTGGCGGTACTCTTGGACCTGTAAGAAAAGAAAATTACATTAAATTTTAAATAGCGCAGGCCTACGCTTGCGGTTTTAAGTATTTAATAAGACACCGCATACTTACAATTTCAGTACTTTTTATGGTCGAAAATAATATAGTGACCCGGCTTGCGCTATCGGTATACGCTGATGGGGCACCAGTGAGGGATGATAGGTGTCAAGTGAGGGATGGTAGGTCAGTTGAGCCATTGTGACGAATTTAACAATAATTAACCACGATGGTTTCTAGGGGGGATCGCGTCGACCTGGCATATTATTAGCAATGGGGCAGTTAGAGCCCATTACTAACAATCCCTTTCTCCCCTCTATTTCAGTATTTTTTTTTTTAGTAATGATGATAATAGAATGGTAGCCGCGCTTGCGCTAATGGTATACACTGGCGAAGAACCAGTGAAGGATGATAAGTGAGAATGAAAAGACAGGTCAGTTAGCCCATCGTGATAAATACACCTGGAATTCAGCACGATGTTTTCCAGGGGGGAGACCACGTGGAGGTCGACCGTACAAATAATTGACATGTCAAACATTTTCTATACACTAGCCTGCCATAAATTGAGAAAAATAGCAACTGATAGTATATTTTTCGTCCTGATTTTACTAATTATATTTGCATAAAGAAAAGAAGCCCGGATAAAAGCTAGTTAATACTTGTAGTAATAATTTCCTGGATCTTACAAGCTGTCGACTTTCAAGGCTAGAGTGAATAGACATTGGGGTCGATTGTTTGAGTCGCCACTTTTCTAAATCTGTACCTAAAATTTCATGACGTTCTGACGTTTATTGACCGGAATACAAAGTATTATTATATCAGTCGTAGACTGTCCACTGCTGAACATAGGCCTTCCCCATAAGGAGAGTTTTGCCAGTAGTTGCCACGCTTGGCAGGCGAGTTGGTAACCGCAGTTAGGGGGAGGGGGGAAGGGCTCGTTAGTAATGGAGATTAGTAATCCCATTGCTAACAATATACCCTCGAACAGGTGGACTTCCACGCGATTTCCCTGGAAACCATTATGATTAAATGATTGTTGAATTCGTCATGATGGGTCAACTGTCCTGCTTTATCATCATCTATTATCCCTCTCTGCTAGTGTTTACCAATAACCATTCCATTATCATCCACTATAAAATCGCAGTTAGGCTTTGGTCATGGTTTAAGAGGGACGCGATTTATATTATCTACCTCCTTTCATGTTTTGTCTTTTTCTTTTTTACTGATTTCTTTATATGTCAGACAGTGACAAAACACTCCAAGATATAAAATACCCTTGTGCTGAAGTCGTGTCTACACGCTTCCAACGTGCAACGCGCCTCGACTTCTGATAGTTATTTTTCTTTTATTCTTAACAAAATACGACAAATAAAGACAATGTAGCTTTCTATACCTACCTAAAGAATTTATAATAAATATAAAAAAATTAAACCATTATTCTATTATGTTATATATATGGTTACAAAAGTTTATTTAAATCAATAAAGTTAAATTTTAAAAGTAGGTTGAGGTACAGTGGTTTTAATATAAATAAATTTCAGCCAACATTCCCCTGTTCTCGCCGACATCAAATTGTCAGGGGACGGGCGAATGGATGCTGGTTTTTGTTAATCAATTAAAACCTATCTCTTCAAACTCGCTTTGATTGATTGCAGGGGATTGTTTATTTAATATTTATCTTTATTTATTTTATAAATAGATAAATAAGAAGTATTTTTAAGAATTAAAATGAAGCGACTTCAATTCTGAATGCACCAGTAAACGATGACATAAATAAGAAATAAAAAAATAACAGTAGCACTCCGGGAGTACCGAAGTGGAAATTTAAACAATTAAGTTTAATTTTTGAATCGTCAGAGGTTTCGGTTACGGTAACAATGTCGCGAGTGCAATGGTTTTTTTCTATCTCAAAAAATGCCAAATATATACATATATACTCGCATGTGTATCTATGTACTTACATTAACAATATATGTACATACTTATATACAGAGGTGTCGGTTACGGTCACAGTAACAGTGTTCCGAGTTCAATGGTTTTTTATTTAAAAATATTTTTTATTCAGGTAAACTTAATTATAAGATTTTTTTAAAGTCATTAATTTATGAAACTACCGCCCAGATTGTTCTGAATAAAATTTTATCTGAGAAGAACGGTAAGAATCACAGCTGTTACTTTTTTTAAAAATATATTCTTCGGATTAATACCAGCTCCTGAATTTCATCACCGTACAATCCGACACGAGGTAAAGTTCCATCCAGTCCATCTGGATGAGTGGCAGTCCTCTGTCGTACATTTCTGTACATATATTTTAACCTACGCACAGCTAAAATACGGAACCCCAGACTGCTCACAAATACTTCTGCTACTTCCCAGCAGAAGTATTTGTGAACAGATATGAAACCTTCAAGAAATGAGCATATTCCTTGCTAAAAGCCTACACCCTACAGTACATCTGGAACTACTCTGATCTTGCCTACGGGAGGCGGTATTTACTTACTTTCAGGTGAGCCGTATGCTCGTTTGCCCCTCCCTTCTTGCATAAAAAAGGTGTAAAAAAAATTGCCTAAAAAAATAACTGAATCAGATCCAGTCAACTCCGAAGTATCTCTATTACACATTTAATGGATTCAACATCATCATCATACCAGCCGTTAACCATCCATTTGTAAATGTATGCCTCCTCCATAAGGGAAGGGGGGGGAGGGGAGGTGCTGGTAGTTGCCATGCTTGATAGGCGGATTGGCAACCGCAGTTAGAATTTGGTGATGTTTTTAAAGAGACGCTATTGCTCATCTCTCGTCTAGATACATTTAATGGATTATCATTATTTATTTTCAGTTGGTGACATTTCGAAGTAAATGAAAGCAAATATACAAAAAGAAGAGCACTCTTCTTAATTAGATGTGACAACATAAGAATAATGAATACCAACTTCTAAGCATTAGGCGTGAAATAATGATCTATTTGTGCCAAAAGTTGTGTAAGTTTTTGCTATTAATCATTTGGAGTTTTATGACTATAACTCATGAGTATATCGTATTGATGCGTGTGTGTATGCGTGCGTGCGTGCATGCGTGTGTGTGTGCGTGCGTGCGTGTGCGTAAATGTGTGTGTGTGTGTTTGCATGTGCGTGGTGTGCGTGTGAGCGTGTGTGCGTGCGTGCACATGTGTGTGTGTTTTTTAATATATCACGACATGTGACAGATAGATAATAGATACCACATCATTATGAGCGAATACAAAGACAACATGGTCCATAATTCCATAAATACAGTTAAACGAAAAGAGATTGTTTTTTTAAATTGATGTTAATAGAATACTAAGCTCGTCTACACTAACAGTATACCGTTAGTGTAGGATATATAGGATGGCGAGGCGCCAGTGAGGGATGATAGGTGAGAATGAAGAGATAGGTGAAATGAACGATGGTTTCCAGGGTCGACCGCGGGAAGATTAACCTGAATATACTCTATAGCAATAGAACCGGTAGTCGCCATTACTAACAATCCCTTTCTTCCTTATTGATATGTATCAATTTAGGGATTTTTCACAGATTCCACAAATAAAAGTAAGGTGGCTATATCAATTAATTTGATTTCAAAACTAAATTACTGAACCGATTTTGATAAAATTTCTTCAAAACCAATCTGTAAGTGTATCCTTTTAGATAAAAAATTAATTTTCCAAATCGGTTTATAACTGACCGAGTTAAGAGGTGACAAACATAAAAAATACAACTGAATTAAGAATCTACTTCTTTTTGAAGTCGGTTTAAAAGCACACTTACTGTACGAATTCATACTAATGTCTAGACGTAATATCTACAATTGAGTACGTGCTGGGCCGCCTCCCAACCCTAAGGACAAATGACGTCATCAATCGACCCGGCGCGAGCCTGAGATATGATAACAAATGGTACTTTTACCGCCTTCAAGATGGAGACATATTGTATATTGGTCGGGTATTCACAGAATCAAAAGGTTTTATTTTAGGTTAAGGGTTTTACATGTTTGATCTCCGTAACAAATGTCTATATGGATCTTTATGGGGTTTTAATGTAATAACCACTGGTTTAACTTAAATGTATTTTCTACCGACGTCTGTTATCTCATACCAACTGTAAACTAATTTGGAAATTTTTTTTTTTTTTGTTTTCTTTACTTACAGATTAATGACATAGAAATTTTATTAAAATCGGTTATGTAGTCTGGTTTTTAAATCAAAATATATGAGTTTGGCTCGACAGAAGTAATTATTTTTATTTTTTCATGGAATAAAATTTATCAAATTTACTTATACAAATATAGTGGTAACATAGATTCATTTTTCAGTTTCGTCAATATAAAGGCAGTGCTGACTCTTGTGTAACACAGTGAATATTTACTCTGTGGTTATTCAGTTAATATCGTAAATGCGAAAATTTGTAAAGATGTTTGTTGCTCTATCATGCAGCAACTATTAAATGAGTGAAATTCGGTCCACGTGTAGGATGTATCTAAATTTAGCACATAGGTACCGATTTACGCGGACAAAGTCTCGGAATACAGTTAACAAATCCTTATTCGATCTACGCCGTTCGTCTTCGGCGAAGCTCTTGGTAGATTTGTTATGAATTAAATAAGCCCATTTGACCGCTGTAAATTGCAATGGAGTTCTTAGAATGTCGTGACGCGGGGAAACTTCTCTTAATTTATGTGACCCTAAGGATAGTAGCAAAGCCGGGAGGGGGGGGGGGGATACTGTCAGAAGCAGCAAAAGGTAATCCTATTATAATACCAATGTATGGCTAGTTTTAAATTAAAATTTAAAAACTTTTATTTAAGCAAGTTGTCGTCTTCTTAATATGTTTATATGTCTGGTTAGCATACTTATTTCTTGCATACTTTTTGTGAATAGTATTTATATATTTTTATGTATTTGTATATGTGTGATATATATATATATATATATATATATATATATATATATATATATATATATATAT